ATTGTTCAGTGCATCCCGTCTGCGGAGCATATGCCGAAAAGAAGTGGTACAGTCGTTGCTCGACAGCAAGAACAATTTTCATCAAGCGATCGTCGTAACGTTCCACGCTAACTATCGAGTCACGGAATTGTTGAGAGACGATTATGGCCACTCCGTTAGTAGTCCTTGGCTTGCCGCAAAGAATGGCTTTGAAGCCGCGACCAATGTCTCTCGACTTGCAACTGGACCATCTTGTTTCCTGCACTGCACAGAGATCGATTCGTCTGCGCTCTAGTGCCTCTGCCAATTCACATAAACGTCCGGTCAAGGTTCCAACGTTCAAGGTTGCAACGCGGACCTTACACGCTACACTGTGAGACTTTTGGACTAGCCTGGTTGCCTCCCGATGCCGTCCTTGCAACGAGGACCCTCGCATACTTTCCACACTCGCCGGGCCATACGAGTGCGCGTCGGCTCCCGCGGACGCCGTAGCATTATCTCGATATACATGTGGCATTGTTAAACATTGTGATGTGACATGGGGTGTTCGTAGGTCGGCCCGTCACGAAGGCCTGTCACCTGCATTCGGATGTCTGCGTTTTGCAGCTCGCAAAGACGAGCTCCCAGTGGCACCGCGTGGAGGAGCAGACTTCACCACCGTGGGGCGACACAATGGTGGCCGAATTACAGGGTTACATAAGAAGGCCTCTTACTTGACACGCCTGTACAGAGCCAAACAATAGAGGGACAATAGAGGGCGCTGTGCCAGTTACTGCCTTATCCATGTCATGTTACCGTACACAATATCATATGTTTAGAAGAACAGGCGGTATACAGCACCTCGAAAAGTTGCGCGGGAATTGAATGTGTCCTCCCGTGAATGCACAGACAAGGGTACCGCAACCCGGGTAAGGAGCTCGGGGGTAAGGCCATGAAGCAAGAGCGACGCTCATCCACATTCCATCTTGCAAGGGATTGCCTATTCGGAGACTGAGTGGTGTTGTGTGCACTCACTGCTCCACTCACTCAGTTTTACGCCAAGTTTGGTGTACTGTATACCTCCTGTTTTCCTAAACTTATAATTTAGAGTACTGTGCTGCCATGCCTCTGCGGAGTCGGAATGGCATATATGACCCTTTGATCTCAATCTATTTTGCTGCACGAAATATACTAAAAATTGAGCGCTTGAACGGGTGGGACACCTACGAAGGTGCCGACAAAGTGCCAGTCAGAATCGCGTCATAGTGGGTGGGAATTTTCCCGCAAGTCAGGGGATCTCAGAAGATGAATCAGACCACATTTGGTATAGGAAATTTCACCGGATAGCAGCGGACATTCCTTTTTCCTTTGCAATGGAAAAGACGCGGTTTCCAGTTCTTAAATTTGTCCTCCACCTTGTGAAACCCAGACTCGTATCCATTATCCAAATATCTAAAATTGGCACCTCTTGTTCATTATGGAAACTTTTTAAACAGATAAATGTTTAGTAGAAGTACCTGATTCCATGTGGAAAGTACGAGAGAAACAATGATGTTTCGTGTTTCTGCACTTCTCTATGTTGTACTGGTAGACCGTCGAGGGCCTGATCAATTTCCACTGTTTTGATGGCAGCTGATCCAATTTCATCTTGAGAAGCAGTTTCACCCAGCCAAAAGTGGACATCCCATCCACTGTGAGTCGACTGAATATTATATTCATAAAAAATAATTTTACTCTGATAATATGGGCAGAAAGTTTTCCTCTTACGTTCAGGACGATGTAGGTGTCATTACTGTGGAACATTCCATACTCTTTTTTGGGCACCTCTTCCAATTTGAAGTTCTGAAAGCGATAACCAAGTAGAAAGCTTTACAACCTTTTAGTAAAAATCACCTACCATGGAAAAATAATGCTTTCTGAAAATGAACATAAAAGAACAAATGTGATGATAACAGAAAAACTCCTTGAAATTGATAAATACCTTGTAAAGAAATTTTCTGGCCACAGGCCGCGAACTACTAGTTTCGATCGAAACCCCATTAGAGACGACCATTCGCGCAATTTCCGGGGGGGGGGGAGCGACAGAGGGGAGATACAAAACTGCTTTACCTAATGATACATCCGCTAGTTATATAATTGTGTGTCTAATGTGTTTTGCACCAGCAAGTCGCTCTAATTGCAATGATTTGACTGCTGCTCGCCTACAGGGAGGTTCCATATGACCTTTAGTACTTACTAGGTATTGACCTTTTTTCAACCTAATTAAGAAGGAACTCGCCAATTAATAATTAAGCGACTGAGCCTATATAGGAACCCCTAGCAGTGTTTGTTTGTGTAAACCGCTTGAGTAAGGCATGAGTCAAGGATACCCTGCGTGGCACCTTCCACCAGGTTTTCTCCGTTCCTAACGAACTAGAACATAAGAAGAGACAAACATGCGGGAAACGCAATACACTCCACAGCACAGATGATCCGTTTCGCCCGTTGTCGTAGACGAATCATCGAAGTCTTACCAACCCCCCGGGCTCGTCAGTACGACAGGGTTGAAGACATGGACATGGACTACACAGGGGAAGCAAGAAATAGGACAAAAAGAGAAAACATGTAGAAAAAGCTCACGTGTAAAATTCATGCAATAAAGATGAGAAGGAACTGTACAGTAAAAATGAGAGAATGATATAACAGGTTTGAGTACTAAATACGTGTAAGAGGAAGAAAATTGGATTGGTGTAGATTTTGGAGTAATAAATACGGTAAGAGAAGAAATTGATTGGGTGTAAGATGGGCCTAAACGCAACTAAGGGAGTGTTTGAGTAAAGAGACACTAAAACTAAAGGGAATGTTGAGTAAAAGACACTGTCGAGCTGATTACAAAAGGTAAATCAAAATTGTAGGGATAAAAGGAGAGTTAGTGTTGAACACCGCTGCTAATGAGAATACTTCTAACCAGCCTACTTATCTTTTTATAGTTATTTGCAATAGAGTATTTGTAACTTATAAATTTATTTTTGTAAATACATTTCACAATGCTAGTAATGATAAAAACTTCTTCGTAGCCATTTTTCGACAGAGGTGGTGACCGTATCCGCGTTATTTTGCTTACGAATACATCGAAGAACGTACAAGTATTTGCTAACCTCAACCTTTTCGTATAACCTCGTCATCCAGGCAGTTGATTAGGGCGGTCGTCACGATCGGCGCAGCGCGTGCCAGGAACTATTTGCTTTTCCAGGCTAATTTAGTCATTTTTTCCACCTTGTGAAGATAAGGAGCTGCTAATCTGGGAAAAGTAGCCAAAACAGTGAAAAGTTGGAAAAAATGACTAAATTAGCCTGGAAAAAGCAAATAGTTCCTGGCACGCGCTGCGGCCCGTTGACGACCGCCCTAATCAACTGCCCGGATGACGAGGGTATATAACAGCGGCTTTGTTGATAAGGGAAGTGTTTGTGTCACTATATGGAAATCTGATTACATTGAAGCTAAAATCGTCCGTTTTATTATACAACTTAGTACTAACTTTACCATTAGCAATATTGATTGTCAAATCTAAATAATTGCTTGAAAATTCACTATTATGAGTTTTTTTCAATTCAAGGGTATTTCGATAAACTTGATAAAGTTGTTCATCCACGTCACCGTCAGTTTGGTTATGTACAACAAGCAAATCGTCAACTCCTCACTTTTTCCTCCTGTCTCCAAGTGAACTGTAATGTAAGGCCAATCACACATTCTTCCTTTGAAATATACGACGTGTTCTACTTTCCATCACATGGCAAGCCTGCCATTAAAGAGGCGAGGAATGTGACATAGAGAGATGATATCTTTAGTCCATGACACTAGTAACGTGTTGTCTCGTCATGTGTCCCTAAGTGCCTTAGCACTACGTTTGACACGAAACCGCGTGGAGCACATACAGCAACTGCCGACGTTAGTGCAGGCATGCGGCGCCGTCGCCCATGACGCCTGAATGGCTGGGGTGGCTCAGATTAGCAGAAGGATATTCAGTCGTGGAGGGAGAGTCAACTGTTCACGCTGGATACCGTTTCTAGCAACATTACAAATTTTTATCAACTTTGAAAACTGAGGGAGCGGAGTTGGACGTCCAGGAATATCTCACAATTTTTACCTGTACATGAACATTTCTGACTACTTTTCAGATTTCCGATTCTTGAGAAAACTTGTTGCCCGTGATTATTAATGTTAATGTCAGATAGTGAGTAGTCACAATTTGTTAGCTGAGATGGCTGTCAGTCGAGATTAAAAAAAGCTTGAACTTGAAAAGTCAGAGAATCCCTCCTAGTCGACGTCCTGTTTCTTCTATAGAATGCCGAAGAAAGCCTTTCTGTGAGTTTATGGGACACCCGTATACCACAGGAGCACCGACGTTACATTGCAATCGCATGGACACTCGTGCGCCATACGCTTTACGCGAAACATGGCATATGTTTACTGTTTAGTAATGACCACTGTTAACTAGCATACTCGCTAGAGACAGTGGCTCAGTGTGACCAACTGTCCACAATAAATGACGCCTATGCCATTACATCAATCAGACGTAGCCGACGATCTATCTCAATCCCTTCGGGTACTTCTAGCTCCGACAGATTGAAATGGATCCCAGGCCAAAGATGCGTGGTGGCCTCCCAGCGAAATATTGTTTATTAGGTAAAATCGCGACGTGCAAACTTTCTCATATTTAACTGCTTGGCTACACAATATTACAAAGATTGAGAACATAATCGATACACGTTGTGCCCTATTTGTTCCCCAGACTCAGGATGTTGACGTTGAACTAGGGGTGGAACGACCCCACCCCCTGAAACTGAAACGCCGGGCCCATAAAACGAGTCGTTCCTATCAACGATTGTGGACTGGATCATAGGGGCAATCCGAAGAAACTGATAAGGTGCAGCAGCAGAAAGGTACTAAAACACCGACCCAAAGACTATTTTTAATATCAGTGCGCTCATATGACAGCGAAATAATCACTAAATCTTGAGTGTCGGCATAGACGGCAGTGCCATGTTTTTGGGATAAGCCATGCACTCGGTTCCCACTTAGAAGCACTAAGGCTTTTGCCCTGATCAGCGACTTTCATGTGTTTTTACCCTCCCAGATCATTCTTTTGCTAAGGAAGCGCTGATGCTTTGAGGACGATCTTGACCTCTTTCAGATAACACCCTTTCTTGAGACATAATATTGTACATATTTATTGAAATGTACCATGTATAAGAATATCAGCACTAGCTGTATCATTGACCGAAAACCGGCGCATTAGATGAACACTCGTATATTAACCTTTATTCTCCATATCTCCAATTCTCCCTTCTTTCCGACCTTCTTGACGTCGATATCTTTTGCCATGATGGAGGCATATGAACGCAAGAAGAAAGAAAAAAGAAAAGAAGCGCTTATTTTCTTCAAAACATGAAATAGTAATGAAAGTCAGCAGAGGCAAAGTACCCATCAAAAGAAGTTTGAATGAACCTAAGAGGGTTCTCGTATACATACCACAAGATGTGAGAGATTGTTAGTATGAAACGAAGATGGAAAGACGCACACAGTACAGTGTGAAATGAATAAGTACTACCCTAAAATCCCATAGATAAGAGCGGTTTGATTTACCGGTGAAAAATGAATTGGAATGAAATTGAAATTGAATGCAGTCACCCCTCTAACTTGATGGATGGATAAATAAAAATCGGAGAAGAAGTTTAGAAGAAGCTCCGCCCCTCAACTCCAAACCCCGCCCACTTAACAAACAATTCATATAGAAAAATAGCGATTTTAACGGAATTTCTGTATTTCTTTTTCTCTTCTTCTTCTTTTTCTTTCTATTTCTTAATTTCTGTTGTAGGCTATTATTGCGATAATCATGAGCACACAACGCCAAAAAAACGTATACAAACGTCAATTTTCATTTTCTAGCACAAACCGCTCTTATCTATGGACCGCTCTTATCTATGGGATTTTAGGGTAATTATTAATCATATGCCGCCTTCTAAGTTAGGGCGAATCGTTGTATTTCCGTAGCTGCCCTGAAGCTACTCGATAATGAAGGCAGGTCAAAACACTTAAGTTGCTGTGGTAACGGTGAGAAAATACAGTCGTCATCCCTGCAAACGAGAGGGCGTGTGAGGGTGCATGGATTGGAGTGCAGCGAGGGTAACTCTTCACCAATTGAGACCAACAGAACCCGCAGCAATTGATGGAACAGGCAGTTCTGACTACGCTCCTATCCATGCCCTTCTTAGAAGAAGTTGTCATGAAGATGAAGGCAGCCGATGCGAAGGAAGGAACCACCGCGAGGGTTCCAAAGGTTCCCAGACATAGTGTTATCTATAGCCTTCTCCATGTGATGACCTCGACAAGTACAACAGTAAAACGAAAACGTGGGAAATTTGAGACGTGGAACGAACTTCGCAGCACGATCACTGAAATTGGCCGCAGGAAGAGGAGGTGTAGGAGAACGTAGATAATGAGTAACCACATGCTGGACAACAACAGCAGTCGCATGTCGGAAGATTTGCCGTGACATGTTGCTACTTGCTGGAGACTATTTTATTGCAAATGAGTTATTTAAGTAGTCGAACCTTACAAAGTTAATTAACAAAGTCTGAAATTCGGAGAATCATTGAACCCATAATCTCGGGCAGTTTCTCTAGATAATGGCGGTGTCAGAGGACCCCCACCCCCTCCCCTCCCCCCCGTCCAACTTGACTTGGTTTGACCGCTTCAACGTCTCCCCTGCTATCTTCCTCATCTTCAAGTTTTCCCAACTCTTGACCACTTTCCCGGTTCTCCAAAATAAGATCCAGATGTGCTTATCATCTCTAGCACCGCGGAAGGATGAACGGAAGTCATGATGCTCTCTAGCTCCCAATCACCGGTCATCGCGCGATGTAACCTTAATATTCTACTATTCACTGTATCCACTTAAAGGCAGTTGGCACGATGATTTGGTACTCGGCCTAAAATGCTAGTAGGGCGCTATAGTGGGGAAATGGCGAAAGAACGGAGTGAAACGGTCAAAATCCTGCGAAGAAAAAGCCTCCGTTCTCAGTGACTTAAAAATCAATTTCGGACGAGTTTCCCGTAGGCATCTTGCCAATAACCGCTACCGAAGATACGGCTGCATATGTGTACTCATATATCCATGCAGCAGCCGCTTCATACCAATCCCTTCGCTTCATAATTTGCTTAGCAAATGAATCAATACGAGCGTCAGGAACGGTCGTCCATTTGTGGGCGGGCGGGCGTGGTGGGCGTTCGGGTCGGTATGTTGTAGCTTGATAGGGCCCTTATAAGGGTACCTTCCTTGGAAAGGGCACTGCGCAGCGCCTTTTCAGGGCGCGGAATTCAGTTCTGTCAGGCGTATAAGTCCCACTCGTCTTTGGGGATTTATCGTGACAACTGCCTTTAGCCATTGTACAGCTTGGCGAAAGACCGTTGTACATACATAAGAGACTCGTCTCAAATGGCCGTGAAACGGCATCGTATCCCAACAGAAACGACTGAGACAAACACGCTCGGGGTGTCACAACTATGTTTTTCGAATTTCCGGATGAAAGCTCATGATCCACAACATGTGCTGCAACAAAATTAGCTCAAAACATTGATCCTCAGAGCTGCAAAACACTGAGAAATATGATCTCAATACCTCTTCTACTTGTCTATGACAACTACAAACACATCGAGGGAACAGACAGTGTCACACCACCTCGATTAAAGCATGTCTACTCATCTTTTCCGCAACAGCTGGATTAAAGGCAGAGGGCACGATGGTTGGGGCGGAAGGTTGCTGCCAACGTCATTGGTGGAAGGGATGCGAGAGGACGTTTGGCCACCCCCTACTCACCCTTTCACCAGTAACTTACCAGGGAAGTCCGCCAACTTACCATGGAACTTTGAATGGAGACCTGGGTAGATCGATAGAGTCTATAAGGTTATTTACAAATATAGATAGCAAAACTGCAACCTGCATTTCACAAGCAACTTATGAGCAGGTAAAGTTTGTAATGGTGCAGTAGGGTGGAGGCTTGGTGGTGAGCTGTGAAGCATAAGCGAGGAATCGCATACGTCGAATCGAGTCGTCGAACGTCGAACCTTACCACTGAACCACCACGACTCGATTCGACGTATGCGATTCCTCGCTTATGCTTCACAGCTCACCACCAAGCCTCCACCCTACTGCACCATTACAAACTTTACCTGCTCATAAGTTGCTTGTGAAATGCAGGTTGCAGTTTTGCTATATTTGTAAATAACCTTATAGACTCTATCGATCTACCCAGGTCTCCATTCAAAGTTCCATGGTAAGTTGGCGGACTTCCCTGGTTAGCATCAGCCGAGCAGTTCATCGCGCCGCTGCCTTCAAAGTCACTCTTCAGAAGAAACAATGACGATACCAACCGTCTCTGTCGAGGACCCACCAACACGATACTATTAGATCTGCCATAAATTAAAGTCGAAGACCTCGTCAGATATTCTGGGCACTGGGGCCCAAAAAGAGATGTCAAGATGCCATGCAAGTCAATGTTGGAGAGAAAAAACAGAGAGAAATTGTTGCTAATGCCCCAAATAAGTCCACTTGGCGAGCGTATTTGTACGAGCAGAGGGCAAGGGTGTGACCGGACAAGATCACCGTTCAGTTGTATTGTGGTCAAGATGCCCGCCGCAAATGCTGCTTTCTTATGGACAACAATATCCCCGTCTGCGTTATTTGGCAAGCTTTCTGTTATCACATTTGGGTAGAACAGTGGGCGGAGCCAACGAAGGTGGGGCGGCCCAATGAGAGGAACAACGGCATTGGCGCCCTCGTCACTTGCTGTTGCGCCGCGGAATTGGAGTGTATAAATCAGACGTCAGCAACATTGAAACGCTGGTCTTTTACAGACTCAAATTATAGTGTTTCTGTAGGGCGCTTTCCTACTTTCCTAGACCTACTAAGATCTCGTCCATGAGTGGTCAAGCTGATAAATGAAGAAGTGCTCTAGAGAACCCCTTGAAAAAATGGGGAATGGAAAAAAAAGAAAATAATGTTTTATCAAATCAAAATCACCTTCCATAGCAACTAGTACATAAGAACACACAATATTTCCGAAGAATTACAATATCATCTCCTCATAAAGAGGTAAATGTAGCAGATCGCACTAGAAAAACCAAACGGTCATTTACCTCGACATTTACATTTACTAATATATTTAGCATATTTACTATCGCACATTAAAAAAGAGGAAATAGGGAACTGTTGATGACATCAGACGGTAGCAGTACAGAAAACAGTTACTGGTAATCTAACACACTCAAAGCGAGCCAAAACAACATCAGCGACAAACCTTAAACCACAACAAATTAGTCTACGAAAGGCATACAAGCAGATATCGCGTCTTAGCAATCAAGGAAGTTGGCTGCCATGAGCAATTCAAGCGCTACATCAGGGGTGATACTGAATTCGGGGATTTCCGTTGCTGAACTTGTGTAGCGCACTTTGTAGGCGAAATACTGACACACTTTCTGTAGCACATGGGACCTAAGAAATGTCATTTTAAGAACAGATTTGAACATTGTGAAATATTTAACCTTTGGATTGAAGATACACTAAACAGTTCGCAAGATGGGAGCTTTACAAATGCAAAATGGGCAGATATGTCACTGTAGAAGAGTGCAGTGCTGCCACAAAAAAAGGAATCCAGATGGTAGTGATGAATGGACGAGATATGTCTCCGCTCGCCATTAACACGCGAGCAGACATTAGACACGTAATACACCGCACAGCCAGCCACACGCTCACCCATAACCGCACACGCTACTTTCTTGTACGCTCCACATGTCGCAGCAGCGCCACTGTTCTCTACGACGTTGTGAGACCCCAATCGCACAGGTCCCACAGGGACTTTTGTTAGGATAAAGGGTGCACCATATCGTTCGTACTCGCTTCCCGCATCGCTGACGCACCCGCTTCAACGATTGTAGAACGGATCTGGCGCCGCGGCAAGCCCAGCCACCTGACACGCCCAATCGTCCGCACCGAATGAGACAAGACTGTGCACTTTGACAACGGGTATTAACTAGCAAGAACCACCTGCCAGAAAAAATTACCCAAGTGAATAGCCGACCAAAAAAAAGAAAAGAGCTGCACGCACTGTAAATTTAGCTAACAAGTTACTACTCACGGAATTTCTCTGAAGTTCACTTCATTACTTTCGTTTTCAGAATACTGCCCTGGTCCACTTAACATTGCCTTGATCGTACCAGATGTCAATGCAAGTTCCTAGAAAAAGGAGTGTCGAAAAACTGTATGATGCCAACCACAAAATAGGCCATTCTTGTGGTTCTCAGTAGCTTACAATCAATTGTACAGTCTTGCTCGCAGCGTATGGAAGAGCCTGTCAGGCGGGATGAGTCAGGCGCGACGCGAAACCAGTTTGTGAAGCAGGTAGGCGACAACAGTTGGTGGATAGCGACTGATACGAAGTATGTTACAATCTCATCGCCACCCGACATGCCCCTTCATCGGCGAACAGGACTGCAGTCTATTCTCAGAAGGGTTCTCAATCTAAGCAGAACAGCTTACCTTCTTAATGTAAAACTGATGACCGTCACTACTGACTAGTTTTACATATGTGGCATCCGGCCCTTCACATCCTCCATATGCTAAAATATTCCTCAGGTAAAAAATACTATAGCGAAGATGACATGGCTGAATGTACGAACATACTTTTACTTTCACTAGTAGAGGTAGACGCGCTCATCTGAAATAGAGGCCATCGACACTGAAATAAACAAAAATCCGTTATTAGTATCACTTACTCTTTTTCGCCACCTGTTGGTAGTTTAGTCTACTCTTTGGTCTTCGCACGTTCTGACTGAAGCCTGAAAACAATTCCGCCACATAATGTAGAATCGAGAAGAATGCTTGCAAAGACGCGTGCGTTCATGCGACTACTGCGGATCGCTGCAACCGCACGCGTCGCCGCTCGTCCACCTCATTTTCATACAGAATTCGTCAATTAATCCAGTGAACTGAATGGAAAATTGAGTAGAAGCGTTTCAACGCGATAACATTCCAGTCAAACCATAACTGAAGCATGACTTTTTATTGAGCAAATTTACACACGAATGCGAAGAAACCTCCCTGAAAACTGGCCTGATAACAAGTGAACTAAAAGGCAATCAGGGAATGTTAAAATATATAAATGATGGATATATATCTGACTACAATCTGTGACTGGTCAATTATTACTCGTTTTTTTATGAACGATGTTCAGCTGAAAGAGAAGGAAAACAAATATTGCAAGCCAATACTATTAAAACTGCACAATTAAGTAGCTTTAGTGATTCTCATCTGTTCACCCATCCGGGTGAAACAATCAATGAGGCACAATCAGGTGAGGAAAGGCTGATCGCAGTGAATGTAAAGTATGCGCCTGAGATCTTCCCTTAAACATACGGATTAATCGATATGATCGATATGACCACAATGAAAACACAAAACCTCTAAATAAATCTAATACTAAGAAAATGCACTGCTAACATTAGTTAGAGAATCACAATCACACCAATAATTCTACTTGGCACAAAGCGAACAGTTCATAGGAATCGATCAATCGGATGTTGAAGGAACATTATTATTCAACAAATCGGAGTGAAATGACAGACCATCGATTGTATGAATAGTATAAGGATAAGTACCAGGACGGCAACCAGGATACAGATAAGAATCTTTTTCTAAAATTAATTATGATCAGCAGTCAAATTTCGAATGTCCACAAGAAAGGGCAAGATGGATTGCATTTAAACAGACAGCCGGGGCCGGCGGTTACTGCCAATGTCATTGGTGGACAGGCAGCGAGAAGGCGTTCGTTCGGTCACCCCATTCAGTCCTTTCACCAATAACGTTGGCCGTAACCGCCCGCCCCAGCTATTGTACCCACTGCCTCTAAATAATTTCAGCGTGGTGGCGGTTATGCTTAGGTGAAATATTGACATTTTCAGACAATTTTTACCATGCTTTTGCCCAACGCCAGACAGGATGACACTTCCTTGAATGCGAGCTTCTCTCGAGAAAGTTCTACATCAGGTTCAAATGGAGGACGCGTCCACGCCCTCCACATCTTGTGGGTATGGAATGTACATTCTTCCCTACGGAACTTTACCAGGATTCGCGACTATTGTGACTAATGTCATGACCAGGGTATCGAAATACTCATAAAATTCAACAAATGGGCAGCTGATCAACATGGGAGACCGATAAAACAATCGCAATTTATCGCGTTGTAGCGCATGGCTTGTGGTGCGCGAAACTTGTTTTTCAAACGGAACAGCGAAAGTCATATGAATTCAAGACTTCAGGACTACATGAGCGGCGATCTCAAATTTTTCCCGCCACTTCAACACCTAAAATCAAACGGCTGGGCAGAATAATTCCTCCGCGTGGCGCGGCACATTACTACTGTCGTGTCAAATACCTGACAAACTTACCTTTCGGGCTTTCTTTTGCAATTCACGAGCACCCTTTACGTTGTGTTTGGCTTTCTCCGCATAATCAACTGCATCCTCAACATTCGCTTCAATCCTATCAAGCATTTCACCCTTAAACAAGAACCCTTGGCAAAACATGGATTTTCCGCATTAATAAAGTGGAGACTTACCTGACTGAGAACAAGGTTATTCAGATCAACGAACATTTCTCCTAATTCGCGGATGACTTTTTCAATTTCAAACAGTTCATCTCTTCGTGTCTTCACATCTTCGAAAAGCGCCTTTTTATCGCTGTAGGCAAGAAGTATCTGAAGAAAATGAGGTTTAACCTAGGGTGAACGGAAGCAACGTCACTCCATTGTAGAATCAGAAGAAAAAGAGGTGCTGCTGCTAAAGGTGAGGGGCGGCGCGGTGGCGCGGTTAACTCCGTTTCTTTGTGCTCATAAGCGATACTACGCACAGGCTCTGGTCGTCTGCGCTCTGCTAAAGCTGAAGTGCCCTGGGGGGTGAAGAGATAACTTCGTCGCGCCACCGCTAGGCTCATATCTCCTACAGCAGCGTCATGCAACATCACATACCCCTTTGGTCTTTTCGAATATATCGCCGTTGTCGATTGCATCACTAATCTCGTCGTCCGTCAATGAAATGTCCTCTGAAAGAGAAAATTCTGTTGTGAATTGTAGATCGTGCGCTAAAGGAAAGGAAATGAAGAAAATGACAAATCTATAGATATTTAGCAACCACAACTTTTACAAAGGGCTTTGGGCATGTACAGTCCTCATCATTGCAGACCGGTGGGGCGGGTGAGCCGCGCTGCGGGTGACGCGGCTGTGACGCGACTGTCAATGAGCCGTAGTCACAGCCGCGTCACACGCGGCGCGGCTCACCCGCCCCACCGGTCTGCAATGATGAGGACTATAGGTACAATGCATGATCCGAAGATGGGCGGGGCCGGGGCGTAGCTGTCTATTTCACTTAAGCACGCCGGCTGCGCATTTGATGGGATCATATCTGTGAGATGTGAAGAAGAGGGGATCGTGCACCGGCTAAGCTCTAGGCGCGGAGATGTTGGAGGTCGCCAGTTCAGGCAGAGACACAGCAAAATGTGTAAAAGAGAGGAAAGACGCGTAGAAAAACACTCTCACACATTTGACTCGAAATCAAAAGTCCACGGATCCGCAGCTGCCGCGTTCGCAACAATCCGTAAGCTCTTCCGTCAAAATGTGTACTTTAAAGAGGGACACATGCCCAGAAGGTGAAAAGGCGAAGGTAGTTTGGCAATAGTTCTACGTCCTTGGGACAAGTTCTATTCCAATGCTGTGAATAATGGAGATTGCTACTTTCGTTCGCAAACTGAAGTTCAACTATAGCAATTTCCGCAACTGAGCATTATCAGGGCATTTAACATGTTGTGGACCCCAAGGAGGAAGGAAGGAAGGACCGTATGTCATATTAGCCTTTGAGAAAAATGTTTTCCGGTTGCTGACTTTTCCCGTTATTCCTCTTTCGAAGGCGCTGTTCCCCCACCCTCCCTCTCCATTCGATAGCAGCTATTTGGGAGAAAAAGAAAACTGAAAATGGAGAACTGGCGAGCTGGCGGATGGGGTGGCGGATGGGGTAGGAGGAGGTGATATCAAGGGAGGGAATTCTAAGGGAGGAGTATATTGTGCGGTTTTCCGATGGCTTTACGTGCCGCGGCCATAGTGCTCGCTAGTATAGATATAGCAAGCAACTGACCACCTGCATGTGCTATTTCAGCAAGTATACCCGTACGAAAGTACACATAAAAGCATAAAGCCGCGTTCACACTTGACAACTTCGTAGAAATTACGAAAATGCAGATAGAGAAAAGAACAGGTATCGATTTGAAAAACCACGGAATCGGGAGAAATGCAGAAGTGCAGAAATGCCGAAATTACAGATAAAGAAGTAATAAGGATCGATCGCTCAGTTTCTGCCGCCGTGCAGATCTGGGAAAAACGCAAAATCCGCAAACTCCGCAGAGCTGGGAGAAATCTGCAGAGTTGGAATCTGCAGAGATGCCGAAATGACGGACAGCGATTCGATAAGGATCGATCGCTTAGCCCCACCAGCGGTAGAAATGCCGAAATTTCGGCATTTCTACAGATTCCGCATTTCTGCATTTCCCCTGATTCCGCGGTTTTTCAAATCGATAGATATACTTTCTCCTCCGGATTCTGCATTTATCCCAATTCCGCAGGTCTGCAAGTTGCGGAAATCTTCATATTCCGCGGTTCGACATTTCTGCATCATGTATGAACGTAGCCCAACACTTACGTATTCTCAGATAATCGGTGATTTTCTTTTTGCAACGTTCCTTGTAGTGTTCCTCCTCTTCACTGAATTTCCATACAACATCATGAAGGGCCCGTGTGAGACTACGAATCTAGGAAGAATTTACAGGTTAATTCTTTGGTACTGAGAAAAAAACAAATGTACAGAGCGCGCTCATATTTCGCGATATATCGCCAAGTATGGATGCGCCTCTCACAAACTGGGCCATAATACGTGAAAATGTGCGCATAGATCGTAACGACAGATTTACTTGCACTGAATATCCATATGTACCAGTATAATTCTCTTGAGCTGGGACTCATACCTTGCAGATGAGAAGCATCCGCGATTTCGCCGAATCGGGTACAAGGGAAGTATAGGTATCGATCTGTAGGACCCACTGTTCTAGAGCATCGTAGTCAAAGTATTAGATGGAGATAGTATTTTCACCTACACGCAAATCGCGTATACCACCAAAACGCCAGTGGGCGGAGTCACTCCGGTCCCACCCAATGCTGGTCGTTTACTCTCCGGAATCGCGGATGCTTCATATTCTCAGAGCATGAAGGATGGACGAGTGCTTCAACTCGTGGTCGTATGAATCAGTCGAAAACAAGCAAGCCAAAAAATGGTCACAAAAATAAGTACCTGGTTACGTTTAATGCGAAAATCCGTTGTGTGGGACTCTTCGGGGTGTATTTTACCGACAGCGGTCACTTCATGATCAAGTTCTTAAATGTTAAAGTCAGCTTGCACTGCTACCAAGCTGCAGAATACTTTTTGAAGCGAAGTGAAGTATTGAAAAGTAACTCTTTATCTTTTCCCGAGCAACCAATGATGTTGTCCGAAAGTTTTCGACAACCATGCGCAGTTGTTTCGATTTCTCTGAATAATAAAAGACATAAATGGATAAACGAGGGAGGTTGGCCTACTACGGCCGGCGGCACTTTGCCGAAAGAAAAAAAAACGAATTGACGCCACGCCAAACACATTACGCTGACTCCCCCAATCATCAGAAGCGAACAAGACTTGGTAATACTCGCGCTAATTTGTGCCCCTTTCTGCAACGTGGAACTAGTAGCCCACTTCCGATAAACGAGTAAAAAAGCGTGAAAATGGACGAACCTCCATCTGTTGCAGGAGCAAGCAGTAATTCACCGTGTAATGTACGTACTTCGTCAAGCCACGATTCTAGTTGGCTAACGATCGTTCGAATATCGGTCATACAATTCAGGAACTAGAAAGATCATTCACTGATATGACGGAGATGGAAGAGATTAATCTAAGTAATTTGAATTGAAGGCAGTGGGCACGATCGCTGTGGCGCGCGGGCCTCGCTAACGTCAGTGGTGGAAGGAACTAGTGGACTGTGGCCAAACGCCCTCTCGCAGCCCTTCTACCAATGATGTTGGCAACAACCGTCCGCCCCAAGCAATCGTGCTTACGCTTTATGGTATACAACGATAGGCTTGTGAACTTCGTCCACGAAGGCTAAGGAGGCGTCAAAGTGCCGTTGAAATGTTAGCAGATATCAACCCAGCAAATATTCATCGCCAAAACAGTGCCGCGCCCCATCGGCGCGCTCACTAGTCGTCTAGCTCGAACATAAGTACGTATGTGAGAAAAATAGATCGGAATTCACGTACGCTTTCCAAAGATGTCTGCTGCTCATCAGGCAATAAATGGGCATTTTCATGAGAAGCACGACGGCCACTGCTTCTGCTGGAGTTCGTCTTTCCTGACAGAGTCTGAAATCCAGAAAGTAATGACCGAACCAGAAAAAAAGAAAGAAAGGGGAAGTAGTCAACAAAAACAACAAAAAAATGCACCTGAAGCTCTATGAGACGATCCTTTACCATTTTCCTCCTGGAAAAATTGCGTAACTACCACACCACTCTACTGATTAAACTACTCGATCCAAAAGTTTATGAAAGCATCTGAAAAACGATATCAAGGAGGTGAGTAAGTTCATTACTGAGAAAGACCAGAGGTAACACGAACGATTTTAATAAAATTGTCTGTGAAGAACCAAACCAGGTGTATTCAAAACCACGGCAATCAACGACGAAATGGATGTGAATTCAAATTAAAACTTCGATAAAAAACAGCTCTGGGCTGGGTCATCACATCCATTAGTGCAAAAGGAGTTAACTAACCATTACGCCAAAACTTCCTAACCTGCAAAACAATTAACCTATGACAGCACGCAAGTCCTGACCTTTGCGTGCGGCAGCAATACCTTATTGGTTAGTTTTATTTTCATGCGACAATATTGCTTTGAATAAGTACATTGAGGATCCTGAATGTTCGTCCCAATGAGTAAAGCCAGCTATGGAGAATCAATGACAATTTGGCGAATAAACAAACCATTTTTCTCAGAAGGAAGTACCTTCCTGAGCGCGTTCACATTGCAATGAACATTCTCAACTATGAATCATATAGTTTTCACGCGTTTGATCGTTTTCTAAGCAAGCCTGCTAATTGAACCCGCAACTAACCAGTGCAAGTTTTCCGCGATGGGAATCCTGAGCAAGGCCACGTAATGTGACGGGATCCCTGAGCTGGACCATACAAATGTGAGAAATAAAGCCTGATCAGTCGAACTCATTTGAAACCCAATGCGACTGTGACCAAGAAAAACTCTTCACCTTGCGAGGTCTCATTAGTTACCACATGATCTACGAAACCGATCGATGTCTACCTCAACCAAATCCGCTTGAGTTTTGAAAAGAGAAACATTCAAAAGCTAACCAAATGCTAGTACCTTAACTTTATGATCAGCTACAACGCTGCTCATAAAATCAGGGCGAAACCGGTCAGGAAAAGCTAGTGACTGCAAGAAGCCAAGAAAAGTGAAAGGTTCGTAGAAACGGTTCCCAATATGACAGCAAAAAGACCGCGAAGTCAGGGTTCTCCTCGAATTTTACGCTTTTTTCAAACGACGGCCATGAAGTTATTTTCGTGTCCTGATAAGGATGCATGCTGGAATCTTTCTGTTTGATGATTGACGCGTTGTTTGATACAGCGCCCGTTTTATGCATCAAAAATAAATAAATAAGTAGGCTGACGAACTTCGCCCGTACCCCATAACCAGACAGTATCACTGAAGTAAAACCTCTTCAAGTCCACCACACTCAAAAAATAATGAATGAAATAACTGCACTCGAAAAATACCAATCAGGATCGGATCCCGAGCAAAATGTTCAACAAACACGCCGTCCAGAAAGCATTCTATTTTAAAAATGAGCGAGTGAAAATATGTGCTTTCTCACTTTCCGAAGTGAGTTTAAAGCAACATTGCTTATATTAGAGTTATTATAATACCATGAATCAGATACAGCAGATGACATTTAGATGTTTGAATACAAACCAGGGTGCGAAAGGAGGAAAACTCGTCCACTCGTGCCGACAGCAACGCAGAACATTGGGCTTACTGGCAAATGAGATGAAACCAAGAAAGGAAAGCAGCATTTTCGAGCTGTCTGAGGACAAGGTAAGCTGATTTACCCTTATCTGGTTTATTGGTACAGGCATTCTACAGAATTTTTGGATAGCATTTCTACGAAAATATAGTGCACTCATACCAGTTTATTCTTTAGAACATGTCAGTCATGAGGGAGAACTTCCACTGACCGCACTAATTTGACTCATCCCAAGCATGACTGAATCAAATTTACACATGCAAGAAAGAGCGCAAAGTGGGAAAAGTCAAATCCACTCGTTTCTCTGGAAGTTTCTGTTGAAGTAGCCTATAATTAGAAAATCACAGAAATGATTCTCTCATTACAAAAAGTGGTACGCTAATGACGCGTACTCTTCGAAGAAATAGTTGTAGAAAACGTGCTTTAAAGCAAATTGGACGAGTCACCGTGCGGGTCGATTGGTTCCGCAGCGAATGCCTCATGTGTTCCTTCGCATAAAATGTTCTAGACGGCATAATCGATATGCTGATTCACCTAAATACAGAACATCTGAACAAAATTGTCCTCATTCTATCAATTGAACGTTGAAAATGGGAATGTAGTCACTAATTTCATCCCTGATTTTCATTTGTCCATGTGTGTTACGTCTGTGCGCTTGTATTTGTATATGTTTTAGATTAACTCCTTTGATCTTCTTGTCCTTAATAGTTTTTCTTTTTACTTTCTTTTGAATGAAGTGTTACGCAATTTCAAACTTGGCTGATAAGGGTTCGGGTGATTTGATTCGGGTGCTCCGATCGATAAGGAGCCTAAATGACGGCGCTTTTTTTACTATCACTAGCGGTCACAACACTACCTTGTGATTTTCTTTTCTGCAGCAAAAGGCTAGCTAGCTCTTCTTCGGGAAGACTGAATACTTCTCGAATAGTTAGAAATTTAACTGTCTTTTTGTGCATAACTTAGCATACTCGTGATAACCTTCGAAAAATCTTAGCTGTAGATAATGTTTGTAGAAATCCTTTGTTAGCGCATAGACCTGCTTGAGGGCATATTCATGCTGAGAGGGTAGTGATTTCACTTCCTCTGCCTCTTTCAATTGTTCTTCAACAAATCACCACTTGAAGGAAAGCAGTAAACACCGCTGGTTTCGCCCACATCTATTTCACTACAATCACATGATCAAAGTCCTGATTTTTTGCCCTATGTCGTCATCCTTTTGGGCCGAAACTTGGCGCCTTTCATGTTAAGCACCCCATGGCCCAGATTTTGTATGATATTTTCGACTGTTATGTTATAACGCGCATGGGTGGTCTCTTCGAGCCGCCAGATGCAGTTGACTGGGCGCTTTAAAATAGGCTCGTCTAGAATCATCTTCAGCACTGAAGTTGTTTATTTCATTGTTAAGATTGCTGATTCAAAGACGATTGGCGCTGCGTCATCGTCGAGGGCTACACGTCAGGCCCAGGCCATCCGACGGCGTCCTCACGAAGAGGCGCGCGTCTGATTTGTTGTCACATTTGCGCTCAGACCACCCACTCTTCTTATTGATTTCTCTTTTACAATAAAATTTCAGATTCCTTGTAGTAGTAGCTACGATTCTATTGTGGCTGCTAATCCGCTACAAATTGTTCTCGGCTTTTTCGAATTTCATTTCTTATTTCAATATATTGTAGTTTCTTGGTCTATACTAGTTATAACTGCTACGTGTAATTTTACTGGTTCGTTTCTGTCAGAGTCATTTGTATTGAATCTGTTCTGCTGGCGTTCCACCACGTGATATTGGACGTTCTAGCTGAACGGGGAAAGAGACGCAGAGCTAACAGCAGGCATAAGCCTGCGTATCACCCTCGTTCATCGTGAACTTTATCTTCTTGTAAAACTCTACTTTATTGTGGAATTCCACTAGAATCAAAGCCAATTCAATGATTCTCATTTGTGAACTAGTAGTCTCTTGACGATTTGTTTCTGTTTTTTGAAGAGTTCCGGTGACAGGGGTACAAAAAGGGAGCTTTTATCGGCCACTTACGTAGTTGGGGAATCACCTGCCATGGGCTCTGTATCCCACCACTAGTCAAGGCATAGGCTTGATGAAGACCATGGCTTCTCTACAGGGCTACTTGTGGGCAACCCTGATCGCCAGCTCTCAAAGCACAACTTTTTTGGGGAGGCACAGAAGAGTGGCTGAATGAACCCCAACTACGTTAGCGCTCAGAATTTCGCAGGTCACAATGTTTCCTTCCGGTTTTCAAAGAATTTTGAGTGCAGGTGTAGCGGGACGGGGGTTGGTACCAAATGGTATGCAGCGAAGCTTGCCCAGTTCACGCAGTGAGGACCTATGAAATCCTGGGCGCTAACCTAGTTGGGGTTTTAAGCATTTGCCAGGGCCTCAGTACCTCTTCCTCTAATCAAGGCTTAGGCCTGGTGAGAACTGTGTCTTCTCTACGGGGCTATTTCTCGGCAACTCTGGTCGTCAGCAATCAAAGCATATCTTTTTTGGGTAAGAGATACCGAGACGTGGCCAGCTGTGCACGTTGTACGTTAGAGAACCCCAGCGAAGGGGGGTCGTATTTGGTCACTGCAAAGAGTTTCCTGTTATTGACAGTTGGTGAATTTTTCGATTTTGTTCTGCTTCAAGCGCCTTATGTATGCGCCCCTCACCCCGCTCGTCTCAGATTTTTGTGGAAAAGGTTAGGGAAATCAGGAGTTTTCGGGAGTGTACTAGGATGCTAGCTGGGATGAGGATAGGGAAGAAGGTCGTATCGCAGGAAGGAATTTCGAGAAGGGTTGCGTTTTGCAAAAATCTTGCCCTTGTGGTGAAGTGGATTGACTTCCTCCCTTTAACTTGCACCCTCCTGGGAAATCCTGCAGCTGAAGTGGCTCACTTTTGCCTTTTTGTAACAAAAGGAACTAGCAAATCAACTAAACACATCCTCCATCTGAGCCGAACAACGCCGAATTTCGAGGGCAGTTTGTGTATTTATGTGTGTGTATGTATGTATGTATGTATATTGTATGTGTGTGGTGTGTGTGTATGGTTTCTTCTGCTCTCCCCGTTGGTTTCCCGCTCCCCGTAGGCTCTTTACAAGACATTCGAAAAAAAGTACGGGATAAAATAGGGTTGCTGCTGCGAGAGTTATCCAGTAGAAAACTTACCAAAGCTCCATTCAAAGTAAGCTAACCTGCAGGATCGGAGAAGGAAAAGAACAGATTCTTACTGATTTTTCCTCCAACGACTTCCTTTTCTCAATTTCATTTCTTTGCAGTAAGCTCAGAAGCTGAGCTGAACTTGCCCTTTCAGTTCGCAGCAATGTTTTCAGTGCCCTGGAGAAGATAACCTTTACGGTTTCATCTACGGGCGCTGGCGAAATCCTCGTGACGCGTGGGCCCTGTCTGCGCTGCGCCCACGCGTCAGAATGGAAATGTCTATTGCGAAATGC